GGCGGCGGCGGCGGCGGCGGCGGCAGGGCCCGAGCTCGGACGCGGCGGCCGCCTCCCCGCGGGCTCACCTGAGGCGGCGCGCGCGGCCCGGTCCGGAGCAGCGGCGCGCGCTCCCCCGCCCTCGGCGTCGCACCCCCAGGCCCCGCTCGGGCCGGGCCCCGCTCGGTCGCTGGCGGCCGAGCCCTCCGCGAGCGCCCCGGGCGGGGCTTATGAGGCCCCGCGCCAGCTCCGCCCTGGCTCCCATTGGGCCCCGAGCCCACGCCCGCGCGCCCATTGGCTGCCGCTGACAGCTCCGCCCCTCCCCTCCGCCGGGCCCATCAACATCGCACGGCCCGCCCCCCGCGCGCCTCGATTGGACGGGCGCGGGCGCAGGCCTCACGTCCCCATTGGCTGAGCGACCGGGACACGCCGGCGCCCACCCACGTGCCCGCTGACCGGCTCCGTTTTCATTGGAAGCGGCGCACGCCAGCCAAGACAGCCGCTACCAACCCGACGGCGGCTGGGCCTCGGATTGACAAGGGCGCCTCGGGGACCGCCCAACGACCGCACGGGAGCGAGTGAGCATTGGCTTATGGGGTGAGCCCGAGGCGCGGACTGGCTGAGGCGAATGCCAATCAGGGCTCGGGCCCCGCCCCGGTTATCAGACTGCAACTGAGTACGTGAGACCCAGCACAACATCAGCACCCGGCCCGGGAGGCACCGGAAAGGGGTTCGAGACCCGTGGCCGGAACTTGGACGCAGAGCGCCCCAGTTCTTTAAGTCCTGACGTGGGAAGCAGCTCCCGTGCACCCCGTTTTGCAAAACAGGAGAACGAAGAGCTGGAGAAATAAAAAGTCACGCGGCAAGCGTCCCTCCTCTGCCCCCCAAAAAGCCAAATTTATTTCCATCGCGATCAACCAAATTTGCAAAGCGGCAAGGCCCACCGGGTAGTTAGGTGCGCTCCCCCGAGTTCCCTAACACCAAGGTTCCAAGCTCACCTGGGCCCCACACCTCGCTGGAAACTGGATGGGCCTCAGTTTCCTCCGTGAGGTGGGTGTGATGGTAACACACAGGCACACGCTCAGCCGACCCCGCCGGCCCCTCCCCAAGAGATGTTTCGAGAATGAGTGGGACGCCGCACACACAGGGCTCACTGCTTGTGCAGTAGGCAACAGTGGGGTGCGTCGCGGGTAGCTCACGGGCAGTCGTGTGAGTTGGCAGCGGGGCGTTTCCCAGTGACATCTATGTCACCCACACTGTAACCCCCCTCAGGAGGTCAGGCACCCTGAACAACCCCCCCGGAGCTCACGTTTTCAGCGCCCAAGGTGTCGCTGTCTACATGCATCTACAGGGTACCAGCCAGGTAATTTGGGGCACGGGTCACTCCGCAGCACTTCCAACTGTGGAGCAGTTTAACAAGAGGGCGGTCTCCATGCAGTGCCCTGGAATGATCCCCTACACACTTTCCTGAGCAAGCTGCAGCATGGTCCAGAATTCGGTGTCTACTAACCTACCTTAGGGAGAAGACACACTGGGTCCCAGGCCGTGTGGTCTGCAAGAGCTCGCATCTAGGACAATGCACAGAGAAAGGTCACCCCGGCAGAGAGAAAAGGAAATCTCTGGAGAGAGGAGAGAGCCACACCAGGAGAAAACGTGGTCGGTGGGGACTTGAATCTGCTCAGGGAGATTGTTCTCATGGGACCATATTCATAGACTTCTCCTATAGTTAAAATTTAACTTCAAAAATGGGAAAGAGCATCTGCCCCCAAGGAACTCCCTAACCAGTGGGAAAGACAAATGTCCTTTGATCACGGTAACACAGTATCTGAGGTACAACAATGGAGGGTCCCCCCCCACCCCAAAAACACACACAGGTATCAACTTTCTTATTTTCTCTGGGGAGACTTCTTTTTTTTTTTTTAATGCCATCTCTTATGTAAAAATTGAACATTAACAATTGTAGAATCCAGACAGTGGCTGTTTATTTCAATTCAACTTTTCTGTTTGAAAGTTTGCATGATAGAATGTTAGGGAAGGGGTACCTGGGTGGCTCAGTAGGTTGAAGCCTCTGCTTTTGACTCCGGTCATGATCCCGGGGTTCTGGGATCGAGCCCCTCATCGAGTTCTCTGCTCAGCGGGGAGACTGCTTCCCTCTCTTTCTCTGCTTGCCTCTCTGCCTACTTGTGATCTCTGTCAAATAAATAAATAAAATTTTTAAAAAATAAAAATAAAATAAAAATTTTAAAAAAGAATGTTAGGGAAAAATATACAAGCGTTGCCATTTAATTAAAAAGGGTCCTATGGGAAGTAGAAAGGACACAGGATTTTCAAATGGGCAAACTCTCCGGAGGATAAATCATCTGGGTTTTCTCTAGGTCTTTGCAGACTGGTACAAATCTCATGAAAGGCTGGGACTGGGAGGGCTAGTAACCCTCCCTGAACAAGCCTTGAGCAGCCCAGGGCCGGCTCACTTTGTTTTTGAAGATTTTATTTATTTATTTTAAGGAGGGGCAGAGAAAGGGAGAGAATGAGCCAGGGAAGGGGCAGAGGGAGGAGAGAGAATTTGTCAAGCAGACTCCACACGGAGCAGGACGTGGGACTCACTCTCACCACCCTGAGAGCCAAAACCAAGAGTCTCACTCAACTCACCAAGCCACCTGGGCACCCAGGGCCAGCTCATTTCTAAGTGGTCACCACCTTCCCCATATGGGCAAGGTGCAGAGCCTCCCCTCCCCTCCCAGACAGGCCAGTCCGATGCATAGAGATGCTTGGAAAGGTAAACTCCTATGTGCTTTAAAAATGCATTTTTAGGGGCACCTGGGTGGCTCAATGGGTTAAAGCCTCTGCCTTCGGCTCAGGTCATGATCCCAGGGTCCTAGGATCGAGCCCTGATCCGGGGTCCTGGGATCGAGCCCTGCATCAGGCTCTCTGGAGCCCGCTTCCCTTCCTCTCTCTCTGCCTGCCTCTCTGCCTAATTGTGATCTCTGTCTGTCAAATAAATAAATAAAATCTTTAAAAAAATTAAAAAAAATAAAAATAAAAATGCATTTTTAGAAGTATACATAGAGGAGGAATTCTTTTATTTACTTACTTTTAAGTAGATTCCTCCCTGGGTATAAAGCCCGACTCTGGGCTTGAGCCCACGACCCTGAGATCAAGACCGGAGCTCAGATCAAGGGTCAGATGCTCAACCAACTGAGCCCCACAGGCGCCCGTGGAAGAGGAATCCTGACCGTCCATCTCACTCCAAGTACATATCCTAGCCATACATGTAGTAGGTTTCCCATTTTTTTTTATCTTTTTTTTCCCCCCCAATTTTTTTTATTTGACAGAGATCACAAGTAGGCAGAGAGGCAGGCAGGGGTTTGTGGGGGGAATCAGGCTCCCCAAGGAGCAGAGAGCCCGATGTGGGGCTCAATCCCAGGACTCTGGGATCATGACCTGAGCCGAAGGCAGAGGCTTTAATCCACTGAGCCACCCAGGCTCCCCAGCTGGGCGGGTTTAAAAAGGCAGTTAATCCAGGGGCACCTGGTGGGGGGCTCTGTCTGTTAAAAGGCTGCCTTCGGCTCCGGTCTTGATCTCAAGAGTCCTGGGATCGAGCCCCGCATCAGGCTCCCTGCTCAATAACAGAGTCTGCTTCTCCCACTCCTTCTGCTCCTGCTCTCCCTCTCAAATAAATAAATAATCTTTAAAAACAAACAGATGAAAAGGTGGTTAATCCATCTGATGGTATATTATTCAGCCTTTAAAAGGAGTAAAACATGGACACAGGGAGGGAACCAGACACAGGCCACACAGCGTGTGATTCCACGTGCACGAAATGTCCAGGGCAGGCTCATCCACGGAAAGGTAGGGGGCTTGAAGGGGCTGGGGTCTGGGGGAATGGCTGGGAGAGGACTGCTGATGGGGATGGGGTTTCTTTTCAGGGTGATGAGAAGGTTCTAGAACTGGAGGTGATGGTTGCACAACTCTGAATATACTAAAAACCAGTTAACTGAACGCTTTAAATGGGTGAACTTTAGGACCCCGTGAAGTATCTTTCAATAAAGCTGTTACATGACAATTAAAAAAAAAAAAACACCCTATCAGGAAAGAAACATGCCCTAACGTTGGGATGTTTTTCTGCATAGCAATGGCAAGAATGCCCTTCTGGGTTTTGCTCATTTTTAACAGTGACATTGTCCTTAACTCTCCAAATTAGAAAAACATCCAAAAAGCCCAGTCTCAACAAGCAACCCACCTCCGTGTGTTCCGTCCCCAGGTGAGGGCCTGCCTGGGGACATTGGTGGCATTTCCTCCGCTCATCATAGCTGGGCACCATTCCTGTTTTTATTTCCCATTTGCACTTGACATTTCCTTGAGATGGAATCGTCTACGGTACAACTGGGCCATTCAAGGGCACAACTCAAAGGACTTTGGTACATCCCCAGATGCGCACAGCCATCAGCAAACCTAGAACATTCTCATCCACCCCACGAAGCAGCCCCACCTGCACCCCGGGAGGCTTTCAAGGGCACAATTGACACATGTTAAAGGACCCAGAGAGGCAGAACTTTCTCCTTGCTGTGAACTCAGTCCTGCCCGATCGTTACTTCACCGGCAGTAAAAGGTGTGGGCAACAGGTTGATGTGAAAAATCATGTCCGCGAATGTAGCTGCTCCCTTCCCTGGAGCCCACCGTTAAACCGGCCTCCCCCTTGGCCTCCGAACTCTGCCCAAGCCAGCATTTCACATCGTCGGGACTCCCCCGCCCCCCAACACCCTTGGTGCCCACACGTCCCCTGGTTGCTGATTCAAGCCGATCTCGCAATGGAGACTGGGGGCTGTCTGTTTCCTCAAATGTTAAAAGTGGGGACAGTGCCACTCCCTTGGCGAGCATTAAGGGATCCCTGGCTCCAAGCTGGAAGGCTGGGTTTGGCCGTTGGCCGATAAAGGTCAACGCTGGACGCCTCCTGAGTGACACTTAGGGCTGCGGCATGACAGCATGTCTTCGACCTGTCCTGTCCTAAGTGGGCCTGATGCTGCCCTCGGGCAGGGGACAGAGCCACACCCGCGCCTGGTAGGCCCCAGGACGACTTGCGAACAGAAGACACAACCCGGTACATCTGTAAAAGGCATTTATTCTGAGAATCTAAAATCTGGACACAGAACATTGAACTTTTTAGAAAAAGCCTACACGGGATTTTGTCGTTTCTTCCTAACACATTAACAAACCTAATAACAAGGAGGAAAGAAAAACTTTTAAAACGGTATCACTCCGGTCTGCAGTTATGGGATTTAAAATATTCCTGTTCTATTGAGGTAAAAGCTGCAAACTTTGGTAAAGTTAGGAAAAAATAAAAATCAACAAATCATTCCCCCAAAAGTACAAAACCAAAAAAAGGAAAAAAAAAAAAAAAAAGAACAAAAAACAAAAAACACAACCAAACCCTAAGTTATAGCTTTCTTGGTACATATACAATAACTACAAAAAAATTTCATTCAAAAAAGTACTTAAAAAAATCCCCCTCTTAAAATTCTCGGTTGGTGAGCTGACCAGTCAGTTGAAAGGATCCACAGAAATCACCCCCCAAACACTCACCCAGAATCAGGAAGTACTGGCTAACCCCAGTTTGTAGAATCTGGCTGGCATTTTCAACAATTCAGTGCTAAAAGAGAGCCCCACGTTTACAACAAAAGAAAGACCCCAAGGCACTTGAACATGGCTTCGAATGTGTGCTTCCGTGGTGCCGCAGGCGGGCTGGCCCTTGGCCGCGCGCCCAGCCCGCGCAGAGCAGTCCGGGCCCCCCGGCCCCCTGCACACCCGGGCAGAGGGCTCTGCGTGCAGGGCCACAACACGGAAGCAGACTGGGAGGCATGGCTTCGGGACAGGCGTTCAAACCCGCCGGCCGGGGACCTCTCCTCTTCCTGGCGGGGGACGGCAGGGCCACTACCGGGCACCGCCGTTGCTGGCTTTTGGGTGGCAAAACGAAATCAGGGAGATGTGCTCATTTTCAGCTGCGGGGGCCAAAGCCACACACCTTGGAAAGACTGTTCCAGGCGGCCGGGAGCCTTCTTGCTCGGCGGTGGCGGGCACTTCTGGGAGCTTGGCGCTGGGGACACAAGCAGCCGTCGCGCCAAGGCAGTTTTCTAATTCCATCTTCAGAAAAAAATTCCATTTGTTTTTTTGCTGATAAACTGCAGGCTTGGTTTTTGTTTTTTTTTTTTTTTTAAAAACCCAAATAAAAACACTGAGAAGTCCAACTTTCTTTCTCTGAGCCACAATACAAACTCCTGAAAATTTATAGGTTCAAAAAGAAAAAACAAAACGAGACAACCAGGAAAACAAGGCTTTTTAAGGGAGTGGAGAAGAATCTACCTGTTTAAGTTAAGCCCACTAAGAACGAAATGGGGGGCGGAGACCCCTGTGACACGTTTTTTTTAAAAAAACTGCCGGCGAGAAGTGCTCGAGGATCATCGGCCGTTGCCGTAGCCGGGGAAGAGCTGGTTGAGGGCGGCCTGCAGCGGCTGGTTCACCTGCATGGCGTAGCTCCGGCCAAGGTCGTAGCGGCACGCCGGGCAGCTGAACACCTGGGCCCGGAAGGATCTGTCTAGGCAGTCCTGCAGGAGAGCGCGGGGTGAGAACGCAGTCACTGTCCCAGCCAGCCACCCATGTCCCTGGGCGCTGGCCGAGCGACAACCTCCGACCCCACGTCCCCCAGGGCACTGGGCAAGCGATGACCACTGACCCCACGTCCCCCAGGTGCGGGGCGAGTGATAGCCACCATCTCGGGAGACCAGAGGCCCCTCCCCCCCAGACCCTGGGTCTCACTTTTTTTTTTTTTTAAGATTTTTTATTTATTCATTTGACAGAGAGAGAGAGATCACAAGTAGGCAGGGAGGCAGGCAGAGAGAGAGGAGGAAGCAGGCCCTCCGAGGAGCAGAGAGCCCGACGCGGGGCTCGATCCCAGGACCCTGGGATCATGACCCGAGCTGAAGGCAGAGGCTTTAACCCACTGAGCCACCCAGGCGCCCCTGGGTCTCACTTTCTACTTCCAGGCTGGCCTCTCTGGGGCTCCTCACAGGCCCCAAGCGCATCCTGGCCTCCAGGCCTTGGCACACGTAGCTTGTGCCACCTAACAGGTTTGTCCTCTGGCTCTCGTATCACTCATGCTTCGGCTCAAGTCACCTCCTCGGAGGGCCCTTCCCGGATGACCCTGGAGTGTAAGAAGCAGCCTTCGCCCTACTTGTCTCCAAACGGCACCTTCCACCTTCTGGAATCGCCTTGTCCTAACAACGTCCTTATACGCAAAAGCCCAGATACCCCCGCCACTTACAGCAGGCTTGCCGACCCTGCCAGCAACGCGCACGGGACCCCACCACACACTACGTGCTCAATAAACCCATGCCGGTAACAAGATAGGATGAAAGGCGGGCAGGATCTCTGGCCCTGAGCCAGACTTCTGGGTTCACACGCCATCCTCAACCGTGTGACGGCTGGAGAAGCCAGCCAGGTGGGACTAGAGCTACGGGGCAGACAAGCCCTGGACAGCCAGCTTCCCACTCGCACAAACAGGGAAGGCGCCACCACTCGGCAGACACCAGGTAGGCAGGTGCCCACACCTCGAGAGCAGCATCAGGAAACAGGGTGAAGGTCAACGGTATGGAAAACCTGCCAAAGCCACAGCACACCCAACCACGGCGCACAGGTTGTGGCTCCTGCCCTCGTCTGCAGAGCTCAATTCCTTTCCCGACAGTCCGTAACCTTGATCCCGAGACTGAAGACCGTTCTTTCCACGCAACACAACTAAGGTTCAGGGCCACGTTCACAAATCGGGCTCTGGACTGCTGACACCCCAAGTGTCCATCTCCGCACCACAATGTTATTGGGCCTTCAAAAGAAAGGGAAGGGGCACGTGGGGGGCTCAGTCAGTTGAATGTCTCGACTCAGGTCCCAGCTCAGGTCTTGATCTCAGTTGTGAGTTCAAGCCCCATGCTGGGCTCCACACTGAGCATGGAGCCTACTTTAATAAGGGGGGGGGGATGGATCCTGACAGTGGCCACAACGTGAACACTGGGCTCAGTGACAGGAGTCAGACCCAGGACTCATCCCGCAGGACCCCACTCCCAGGAAGTCCCCAGAAAAGGCCCATTCTCAGAGAGGAGATGGTGGGAGCCGGGGCTGGGGCAAGGGGTGGGGAGTCTGTGCTTTGTGGGGACAGAGTCTCCATTTGGGGAGATGGAAAGTTCTAAAAACAAGTGGTCACAGGACAGGGTGAGTGTGCTTCACGCTGCTGAGCTGTGCACCTAGAGACACTTAAGATAGCAATTTTTACTTTGTGGGTATTTTACTACAATCAAGTAATTTTTTAGTAAAGTAAAAACAAAATCAGGTGCCGGGACACATAGGCCAAAGCTGTCTTCCTGTGACCGCTCAGGGGCTGAGGTTCTTGCGGTGACCAGGGACAGACACAAAGGCCAACAGCCCCTTCTTTTATGGCACCCGCGTGGGCTCTGCTGAGATGCTCAGTACCAGACTCCCCACAACCCACTCGGTTTCTGTGGCCTGACCCACCAGCCCCACCGTGGCAAGGCTGGAGACCAGACCACCGTGGCACAGAGGCTGGCCGGGAAGGAGTTGCCCCATTCCTCTACACTGAGGCAATGGAGGCTCAGAGGACCTGGGTGGCTTTTCCAAGGCCACAAAACCCCTGCTCAGGTCGCACAGGGCTTCTGTCCTGGGCCACGCAGTGGGGAGGCAGGGCCCGAGGACAGAAAAGGGAAAGGCCTGACCTGCCGCACTGGGGGATGCTCTTGGAGCCCCAGCCCTGGTGAGACAGCGGACACAGGAGCCTGGACCAGGATAACCCCAAGGCGAGAAAGGGGGCTGGCAGCTCAGAGAGGCAACGACAGTCCCTTCCACCCCAACTATCTGCATGCCCGCCCACAAGTTCCTCTGGACCGAGTCTAACTAGAAGACACCGCAAAAAAGCCATTTTCCCCGCTCACCAGCACACCAAGCTGCACAACTCTGCCTTCCAGGAATGCGGGGTGGGGTGGGGTGTCAGGAACCGCTGCGATTTTAGCAACTGGGGGTGCTCCTGGCACAGAGAGGGTGGGCCAGGGACGTTCCTCAGGACACCCCCGCAGAGCGCGACCCACCCCAGCATCAGCACGGCTGCAGAGGAGACCTCGCCCTCCCACCCCCCATGCCCCACCTCTCTTCCAGTCCAGCCCTCCTGACTGACAACCCTCCCGGCCCCACCTCCCAGCCCTCGTCTCCTACAGGCCCCCGCTGCTCCAATCTGCGTATCCGTCCAGGCTTCTGTGCATGCCATTCTGTCCCCCTGAGATGCCACCTCCTCTGGGAAGCCCTCCCACCCATTCCTCTAGAAGCCAAATACCTCAGACCTCTCCAGCCCAGCCCATGGCATGCTCAGTCAATATTTAGCACACCCAGACCTCAAGCTGGGACTGCCACCCACCCTCTCCCGTCCTGGACCCCCAGCCATCTAGGAGGCCGGGGGAGAACATTCTGGAGAAAGGACAACCAGAGAACACTCCTAAGGCAGGTAGTCTATGACCTGCTGGAGGGACAGGCAGAGGACCAACGTGGCTTACGGTCCCAGGGAGATGGGCAGGGTGAGGACAGTGTCGTCTGAGCACCACCGCCCACCCCGGCCCACGGCTGCCCCCGCACCTTGCACACGTTGTGCTGACACACGGTCGTGATGGGCCGGAACACGAGCTCCTGGCAGCAAATGCATTGGAACGCCTCCTCCACTTTACTCAGGAACTTCTGGAACTGGAGGAAAACGTGTGAGAGCGGACTGGACACCCCTGGGACAGTGTCAGACCTGGTGCCCCTCACCCCCACCAGGGGCCAGAAGCAGCTCTTGCCCATGTGAGGAAGAGGAACACAGCCCGGAGGAGCGAAGGCCAAGGCCCCGAGACAAGGTGACCGGGACCAAGAGCCCGGAGAGGACGTCAGAGGTAACAGGCCAACTCCAAGGGGACGCGTCTGTCCGGAGGGAGGCACAGAGAGCCCACTGCCACCAGGTATGGGCTGTGGCCAGAGGACACCAAGCTGGCAGCCACCCATCTAGGTCACGCATCATGCTCAAGGCAGGAGGATCCAGAAGAGACAGGCCTGGTTCAGCAGCTCAGAATGCTGAACACAGACAGACCTCCTGACCCAGCCATCCCACGCATGGGACTGTGCCTGAGGCGGGGAAGCTGCGATGTTCACCCGCCCCCCCACCCGCTGTGGGCTCAGCACCGCGGTCCCAGCAGGGGTGCATGCCAGCCTTTGGCCACTAGTGCCCACCCACAGGTGAATGGACACACCCAACGTGGTCTGCCCACATGCCAGAAGGTTACTCGGCCTTAAGGAGGAAGGGACCCTGACCCCTGCACGACGTGAGCGGGCCCCAAGGACAATGAGCTCAGGGAGAACGGCCAGACCCAGAAGGACCCATCCCGCAAGACCCCACTCCCAGGCGGGCCCCAGAGGAGTCCTGTCCACACAGATGGAGAGGAGAGGGTGGGAGCCAGGGGTGGCGCAGGGGGTGGGGAGTCCATGCTTCACGAGCACAGAGTCTCTGTGTGGGGAGATGGAAGTTCTGGAGACGGAGGATATGGGGTGGTCACAGGACAGGGCGAGTGTGCTTCCCGCCGCTGAGCTGTGCGCTTAGACATGGTGGCAATGGGGGATTCTTTCTATTTCACCACATAAACAATGATAAGGCGAGAGGATGTCCAGGCCAGGTAGGGGTGGGGGTGGCAGGCACTCACCGTCCCGTCTTTGAGTGACTTCAGGATCTCACTCCACAGCTTGGTGTTGCTCTGGTCCTCCTTGATGAGGCTGCTCTGCTGGGCAGTGAGGCTGTAGGGCTCTACCTTACTCTTCTTAGGTGTCCCTCCCGGGGACCCAGCACCAGCCCTGCCACCTGCAGGGACAGAACAGAGGAGGTGAGAATGGGCAGGTGGGCGGCCAGGCCCGCGCGCGGGGACGCTGCCCGCAGAGACACCCACCTCCGGACTTAGTCTTGCGCTTGCCCTTCCTGGGGGATGTGAAGGTCCCCTCCTCCTCCATCTCCTCCTCTTCCTCCTGGGCCTCTCTCTTGCTGTTCTCCTTCTCCTTCTCCTTCCTGGCCCGGGCTTCCAGGTAGCCTTCCGGGTACTGCAAGAGGAGGGAGTTGGTCGTGAGGACCACTGGGTGGGGGCTGTCCAGGAACCAGGGACGGTCTCATGCGGCCCCTTTCCTGCCCCCTCCCACGTGGACAGTCCCCCCCCCCCAGCCCACACTGGTGCCTCCGAGACTTGGACTCCTCCTCCTGACTCAGCCTCCAGGGAGCTCTGGGAAGTGAGCCTCTAATCACCCAACGTACCAAGGAGAAAAGGGCTAAGGCGCCCCGTGCACCTGACGGGGCAGAGGCAAAGCGGTGAACAGGGCAGGCACAGCACATGCTCGCCATCAGATCTGGCGACTAAGAGCTTCTAATCGTTATCCTCACTCGTTCGTTTAGACATAGGCAAGCTCTCCCACGAGAGGCCAGGCCGCAGCCCTCCCAGCCTCAGAGTTCCGCGGTAGCCCAGAAGCCGGCAGGGCTCGGAAGGGAATGGACCGTCATGGCTGGGCCTCCAGCGAATGGCATTTACAAAGACATGGCCCCAAGGCCTTGGCTCCCCTACCCAATTTTGAGGAGTCTGGGGCCCCCCCAGGGTCTAACAGGCATTACTTGAGGAGAACCCTGACTCTGAGGCACTTCCGATCACGGGGGATTTCTCCAGCATGTCATCTAGAAACTGTCCAGCATCTCCGGCAACACAAGCGTGACGTCACTAACACCCCCACCAGAGGCTGGCGGCTCCTGTCCCGCGGCTATTTTTCTCCCCTGTTCCTTAGCTTCTGAAATTCTCCATGGTGCAAACATCATGTGCAAGAGACAACTTCGTGACCCCAGGGGGAGGCGCTATCTGATTCTCAGTAGCAATTAAGATTCCTTAAATAGTCCCACCCTGAGTTACCAGCTGTGAAGAGACTCGCCGTAATGAACAGAAACACCATAATTATGGGGCAGAAAGGGCGCGCCGCACACCGGCTGCACCCTGGGAGCTCTAGCTGCTGCGAGGAGGTGAGCGAGGACTCCGGGGGAGCGTTCCTCCCCACATCCTGCCGGTTTTTTGGGTTTGCCCCTGTGTGCCTGGAGGCGGCATGAAGCCTAGCAAAAAGGAAGAACCCAGATGCCACACGGATGTCGCACAAACTCCTCCCAGAACACAGCTTTAACAAGGAGACCTGGCTCTCTACCCTCAAATTACGAATGCAAAGACACCACCACCAGCTGCCCACCGCCTAGGTCTACTGCGTGGGCGCAAGGGGCGACCGGCTCGGTGCCTGGAAATTCATTTAAGATCACAGGAAACCCGCGAGAGTTTTGGGCCAAGAAGGCAGGCTCCCACGGTCCCCAGTGATTGGCCAGGAAAACCAGGCTGTGAGCAGGACAGCGTGGGGCCTGGGCTGTGCGGCATGAGGCTCTGGATGGGCTGGGCCTGGGCGCACCTGCATGGTCAGCCCCAGCTTCTTGATCCGGTCCTTCCCTTCCTTCGTCCAGGGGCCAGGTTCAGTGTCATCCCTCCGCAGGAGATAGCGCCATACCAGGAAGCCGGACTTGCCCTTCTCTGGCCAGTACCGCACCACCTGTGGGGAAGCCCAGAGGTGGGCGGGGGCGGGGTTGGCAGGGGCTGGGCGGGGCCGGCAGGAGGGCGGGGCCGGCAGGAGGGCGGGGCCGGCAGGAGGGCGGGGCCGGCAGGAGGGCGGGGCCGGCAGGAGGGCGGCCATTCACCTTGTAGATGCCGTCGTACCGGTTGCCCTCGGCGGGGGCGTACTTGCTGTGCTTGCGACCTTTCACGTTGCGCACCACCCGCACCGGTTTCCCTGACCGCCAGTCCTTGGCCTCGGCCCCCTTGCGGTCGTTGATGGGGGCACTGCAGTTCAGAGCCAGCGCCCTGGGGGAACAGTCCCTGTGGGTTAGATCCCATCTCCAACCCCCCAGAGGAGAGCCTCTCATTCTCACCCCTAGAACCTGTGACTGTGACCTTCCTTGAAAAGTGGGTGACCGCAGATGCGGTCAAGCTCAGAGGAGATCAGGGGGCACTAGTGTGGCCCTAAAAGCGACAACTGGTGTCCTGCTAAGGAAGGGGTAGTGGAGGTGTAGGAACAGGGGGAGAAGGCCACGTGAAGGAAGCAAAGGCTGGAGGGGCACCGGCGACCACCGGTGGCCACCAGAAGCTGGAACCAGCAGGGAGGATCCCCCTCCAGAGGTCTCAGAGGGAGCACAGCCCTTCCCACCCCTCAAGTTCAGAGTTTGGGCTCCAGAACTATGTAAGGGTAAGTTCCACACTCCAGATGGAGGTGTGCGAACACGGGCAGGGCCATCCCACCGAGGGCCACGTTGGCCCCGGGACTGGCAGACCAGGGCTCAGGCTCAGCACCTCCTTCAGGACCACTCCAGAGCCTCGCCACTGCTTCAGTTTGTATCTTTGATAACCTGAGTTGAACTTAAGTTTTCATGGTCACTGGTGCTCTGCACTCTTCTTGTGAATGACCTGTATGTCCTTTGCTTTTCTTAAGTTTTTGTTATTGATTTGCAAAGCTCATTATATAGAAAAGCCATCATAGATCACGTTTGCAGCACACTCACCCGCAAATAGTCTTCTGCCTGTTCATTTTACATATGGGTTCTATTGATGCAATTTATAATATTTAAGTTATCAAATCTCCAGCTTTTCTTTTGGCGTCAGGATGCTTTTTGTGCTTACAAAGTCCTTCCCTATCCTGTGGTCTGGGGTCAGCAATCTCTGGCCGGCTGCTTCGTTTTGCAGATAAAGTTTTATTGGAACACGGCCATGCGCGTTCATTTATGTGGGCTTTGAGGCTGCTTTTGTGCTGTGATAGCAGAGTTGAGTGGTTACAACAGAGGCCAGGTGGCCCATAAAGCCGAATATATTTTCTGGCCTTTTAGGGAAAAAGTCCTCTTTAACACATCTGACGGACTCACAAGCCTTTAACAAACAGAAGGGAAGAAATGGATGTTGTCATCTCTACATTCCATCACATTCATAACAGGAATCTGAACTTCCTGACCATACACCCCAAAAAAGACCCAACCCTCTCCCCGTGTAGCTGCCGGAGGATGGGGCAAAAGCCTGCTAGCAAAGAAAGGAAACCGGTTTCTGCAAACCTGTTGGTGTTGGTGAGCTTCTGGTCACAAGACTGTTCTGCAGTCCGCTTGTTGCCAGAAAGATCTCGACCACCACTGCCCGTGTACGTGAAAGAGTTCCCGTGGTCCTGAAACAGACAAGGAGGCCAGGCTGAGCCCTCCAGACACAGGAGAGGAGAAACTCAGCCAAAAACTACCCTGCACACACCTATCGGGAGGACAACCCTCAAAGACACAGAATGAGGAGAACCTGGGCGTCCGTGTGCTAGCAGAAGGAGACCAAGCTAGTGCAGCCGCGACGGACCACGGTATCGAGGCACCTCAGAACATTAAAAACAAGTTACCGTCCGATCCAGCAGTCCCACTTCTGGGTCTATACCCACAAGAAGTGAAAACAGGACCCTGAAGAGATGTATGCACACCCATGTTCACAGTCACATTATTCACAAAAGCTAAGCGTGGAAATAACCCCACTGTCCACTGGGAGATGAAGGATACACATGGTACAGTCCATCTACACAATGGAACAAGATCCAGCCTTAGAAAAGAAGGGATCCTGACACCTGCCACGATGCAGAGGGACCCTGAGGACACTGGGCTCAGTGAGAGGAGCCAGACCCAGGACACATCCTGTAGGACCCCACTCCCAGAAGAGTCCCGTCCCCAGAGGCAGAGAGGAGACGGTGGGAGCCAGGGCTGGGGCAGAGGGTGGGGAGTCCGTGCCTCGTGGGGATGGAGTCTCTGTGTGGGGAGATGGAAAGTTCTGGAGATGGAGGGTAGGGGTGGCTGTACGACAATGGGAGTGTGCTTCATGCCGCTGAGCTGTGCACTCAGAAATACTTAAAAGAATAAATTTTGTGTATAAAATTTTAATTTTATACGTAATTTTTAAAAAATCTGGAACAGCTCCCCCCACACTCACCACATCATCCTCATATCCCCCAGCCAGAACCAAGGAATAAGCCCCATCGTTGCTCCGGCCATGGATGCCCGCCACGTGAGGTCGATGGACCCCCGACTCGCTGACCTGCGAAAACCACCAGGTGGTAAATGGCACCTTTGGGATTGGCTGTCACAGAGCAGCTCAACCCCACTCTTCCGGCTCTCACTTCCAAAGCCAGCGGCCTGACTTTTCTGCCGAAACCAATCACACCTGTTCCGAGAGCCCCTCCCCCAGAAACCCCAAGTCTGAGCCACACTGTGGAAGGAGCTGGCCTGAAGTCCAGCCCGGCCACCTGCCCCAGGGTGGTCCTCGCCCAGGCACAGGGGCTTCTGGGAGGCCAGTACCCGTGGGCCCGGCCCCAGAGCCCAGGAAGTCGGGGGGTACCTGGACTCTGAACCTCCACATGGTGCCCACAGGGATCCCCGGGATGGGTCCGTAGTGGTTGGACGGGACGATGGTGCACTCCTTGGTACGCCCCACGCACGCCATGCCCTGTCCATCCGGGACCAAAGGAAGAGCAGAGTGAGCGCGTGTGGGGCAGGGAAGGCAGTGGGAACGAGGGGCGCAGGGCGTGGGGCGGCCTCACCTTGCCCCAGTCCCGCTGCGAAGAGGATGTGGCTGACGCCATCTTCGCTTTCTTCTTGCTCTCTTTCAGCTTCTCACCCGCCAGCACCACCTCACTGGCGTCATTCCGACACTCGGGGCAGTACCTGTGACAGCAGGGACGTCACCTCCTATCCCTGCCTGCCCCCACCCCCCACGCCCAGCCATCCTGCGAGGTCCAGGGAAGGGAGAGCATTTCAGTCTAAATTCAGGAATATTAAGCAGGAACCCAGCCGCCCCCCGATCCCCAATCGGACGTTCTCAGTAGCCACGTGTGCCCTGAGAGGTGGTGCAGAGCGAGAACGTTCTGCTGGACGCCCAGACGCGCGTCCCTCTCCCCCAGGCATCTCACGGCGCTGCCCAACAATGAGGGTAAATCTCATCTGGGGATACCGGACACCCCCAGGAAAACTTGACGGGCAGCGAGGAGGAGCCCGTCCGCTCACCACTCGTCCTCCTTGGGGATGCTGCTGAGGGGCGGGCGCAGACAGTAAATGTGGAAAGCCATGTCACACTCATCGCACATGAGCTGCTTGTCGGGGTCCTGCTTGCCCCCGCACAGGTGACAGGCGCACACCCGGCAAGTCTTGTTCTCGTCGTCTTTGCAATGCTTGCAGGAGGGCCCGCTCTTCCCTGGACGAGGGAGGCGGGGCTCAGCTCTGGCGGGGCCGGGACGGGGAGCCCCCACCCCACACCCGACGTGGGAGTCGCGGAAAGACAGGATTGGAACTCACTTCTCATTGGGTTTTCGACAACGGGGCTCCCCTCGCCCGGAAGCTCGATCTTGAACACCTCGTCCACAAAGATGATCCGACAGTCATTGAGCGAACCACCCCTGTGATGCAGAAGCCATTAGAACATTCCAGCTGACCAAGCCAAGGTGCCTCAGCAGGGACTCTGCCACCTGCCATGCTGCTCAGAGCAGAGAAAAGCCTCTGGTTCTATCTAGTTTTATCAAGGCCTCTCGCATTCACTGAGCTTCTCCCCTTGCTGGTTCAAGTCCTACTAAATCAGAGACAAGGCAAAGACAACGCATTAAACCCGGTTTCATCACGTGCCTTTGAGAGAAGAATTCCTAACCTTTCAACAGGCCGCCGTGACTAAACAAGGCCCCACACATGAAACCGAAAGGTGAGGTCTGCTCAGTCTCCCTGTATCAAAATGCAAAACTCCTCCAGGGTCAAGTGACCTCCAGGGACCAACCCCACATCTCCAACAGTGTCCAATGGCAAGCCAGTGGAGTCCCAGACACATGCCACCTGTGTCATTCTGTGTTTTCCAACCACCATGCTGAACAAGTAAAACCGGACAGAATCAATGCTGGGCTTTACGTGACCCGATGTACTATTTCCACGGGTCCTAAGGTACTATTTCCATGAGTGACGACTAGGACGGAACCAGGCACGAGCTACTTCGCATTCTTGCCCAGCACCAAGTCCCTGACCCCCAGTGTGCGTTACACTTCCAGGTCAGCTTGGCCCGTGCCGGCCATATTTCAAGTGATCGACGGCATGAGTGGCCGAGGCCACGGACCCAGGCTGCACAGGCACAGACGGTCCTGCCAGCTCACAAGAAACCCTGGAGACAGAGGCACAGAGGACATGGTGCCACAGGGCGTGGAAAGCAAAACCCAGGCCACGGAGAGTCTGTGGGACACACAACCAGGCTTCCTCTAAATAACCTGGTAAGGAAAGGGGGAAGGAGGAAAGGACAGGAGACCTGAAGATAAAAGCAGCTTAAGTGATACAGATTGATCTAACTGAAGTCTGTGCAAGCTCCGTACACCCCAACTAGCCAAATGGTTACAAAAAAAAGTGAGGAAATTGGAAAACAAATCAGTGACTGAAGAAGTCATTAAGAAATTATGACTGGGAGCACCTGGGTGGCTCAGGGGGTTAAGTCTCTGCCTTTAGCTCAGGTCGTGATCTCAGGGTCATAGGATCGAGTCCTGCTTTGGACTCTCTGCTCAGCAGGGAGTTTGCTTCCCTCCCTCTCTCCCTACTTGTGATCTCTCTGTGTGTCAAATAAATAAATAAATCTTAAAAAAAAAAAAAAAAGAAATTATGATTAAGGCATAAAGACTTAAAATGAGGGCTCGTGGTGGCTCAGTGGGTTAAAGCCTCTGCCTTCAGCTCAGGTCATGATCCCAGGGTCCTGGGATCAAGTCCCCGCATCAGGCTCTCTGATCAGCAGGGAGCCTGCTTCCGTTCCTCCCTCTCTGCCTGCCTCTCTGCCTACTTGTGTTCTCTGTCTGTCAAATAAACAAATAAAATCTTTTTTAAAAAGACTTAAAATGAACACATAAATTAAAGAAAAAAAGAAATCATGGTATCTTTACATTGTGACAACATCGTCGTAACTATTTAGGTAGAGTCACTTTAAAGGAATGACTCGTGGAGCACCTGGGTGGCTCAGTTGGTTAAGCGTCTACCTTCAGCTCAGGTCATGATCTCAGGGTCCTGGGATCCAGTCCTGCATCATGCTCCCTGCTCAGTGGGGAGCCTGTTTCTCCCTCCCCTGCTGCTTGCGCATGCTCTCTCAAATAAATAAAAACTTAAAAGAAATAAAGAAGAAATGAATTGTAAAGCATGTTTGGATAGAATGAATCAATGCTTGAGAGTCACCTCAGTACGACAAGGCTGGTAGCACTCTCCCATGAAGGAAAATCCACAGAATCCACTGCTGGCAGACACGCCCTTACAGGATGAGGGAGGTAACTCCTCAGGTAGGAAATGATACAGAAAGGAAATCTTAGGAGCAACAGAAGAGAAACAGAAAAAGCAGAAATCTGGGCGCATCTGACAGATTATCCTCCTTAGGAGTTCTGCAAGACACAGGTGAGGACTGAGATAAAGATCCGAACCCCGTCTGCTACTCAGTGAGTACAAACGGACATAAGTAAGGATGGGTTTCTGGCAAAAGGGACAACCAGTAGGTCGCACGCTTACGGTAAAATCCAGAGGAACCGCTAAAAAACCTATCCACAGCGATACTCAAAAGACAGAAAGCAAATCTGGACAGAATCTTAAAATGTGTTCAGGTAACCCATGGGAACGATGGAAAAAGAGAAACAGAGGAAACAAACAGAAAACAAATGACAAACCGGCAGACGTTAAGTCGTAACACACCAATGTTCGCCTCGCGGGAATGGTGTGAATGTGCCAATCAGAGGCAAGATGCCAGGATGGATTAAAAAACACGCCAGTTATGTGCTGCTTCCAAGCAACTCACTTCAAATCCAACGACACCGGTTGAAAGTAAAAGGAAAGAAAAGAATACAGCCTGCAGGGGCGCCTGGGGGGCTCCGTGGGTTAAGCCTCTGCCTTCGGCTCGGGTCATGATCTCAGGGTCCTGGGATCGAGCCCCGCATTGGGCTCTCTGCTCAGCAGGGAGCCTGCTTCTCCCTCTCTCTCTCCCTGCCTGCCTCTCTGCCTACTTGTGATCTTTGTCTGTCAAATAAATAAATAAAATCTTTTAAAAAAAAAAAAAAAAAAAAGAATACAGCCTGCAAACATTAACTTGAAAAAGCAAAGCAGGTGTGGACAGACACCCATGCACGTGGGAGCCAGGACACCACTAGACAAGAGGGAAATCACAACATGACAGAGAGGTCCCTCAGCCGGGAAGACAGAGCTGCCCTGAGAGTGTGTGCCCCAGACACTGATGTGAGGCCGAGCCGAGGCAGATACCCCCACAGTGAGGGTGGGCATGCCGGCACCCCTCAGCACCTGACGGGGAACCAGACAGACAATCAGCAAGAATCAGAAGGGAGCACCAACAGGCTCTAACAGATGGAAGTAGGACACTCTGACCATCGGCAGAATATCCTGGTTTTTCCTCAAGCAACCGCAGAATATTCAGCAATTTAGACCCTACGAGGGGCCACAGAAGAAACCGTAATAAAGTCAAATTAGAAATCAGGGGGTGTCAGGGTGGCTCAATGGGTTGAGCAACTGCCTTTGGCTCAGGTCATGATCCCAGGGTCCTGGAATCGAGCCCCGCATCACAGGAGGAAGGGTCCCTGCTAAGCGGGGAGCCTGCTTCTCCCTCTCCCTCTGCCTGCCTGCTGCTCCCCCTGCTTGTGCTCTCTCTGCATCAAATAAATAAAAAACCTTTAAAAAAAAAAAAAAAGAAATTAGGAATGAGTAACAGAAAGACAATGCAGAAGTCTCTAAACACTTGGGAATTAAACACAATACTTCCAAAGAAGCCAGGAGCCAGAGAGGAAGTCTCGAAGGGAAAAAAAAAGAATGGTGAAGAAAAAGAAAAATACAACATAGCAAACTTTTACATGGAGAGCCGTGAAGGCAGTGCTGAGGACTGAATGTATAGTGCTAAGGGCAGGCATTAGGGAGGGGAGATGCCTCAGATCGACAGTCTAAGTTTCTTATTACCTCAAGAAACTAGAAAAAGGGGATGCCCAGGTGGCTCAGTCGTTGAGCATCAGCCTTCGGCTTAGGTCATGATCCCAGAGTCCTGGGATCGAGCCCCACATTGGGCTCCCTGCTTGGCAGGAAGCCTGCTTCTCCCTCTCTCACTGCTTGTGTTCCCTCTCTCGCTGGTCTCTCTCTGTCAAATAAATAAATAAAATCTTTAAAAAATAAATAAATAAATAAATTTTAAAAAAAGAAAAAGAAACTAGAGAAAGAACAAAATCAACTGAAAGAAAGGAGAAAATTTAGAAGATGAGAGCAGAAATCAATGAAATTGAAAATAAGGAAGTAAGAGAGAAAAGCAATGAAAGAACATGCTCGTTCTTCATTAACCATAACGTGGCCGCAGCCTGGCCTAAGCCCCAGGACCTTGCCCCTAAACACCTGCGTAGGTCTCCACCCTGGTGTCCCTGCTCCTACACTGCCCCCTGCAGTGCATTCCTGTCTAGGCTGCCAGAGCTGGAATTCTTAACTGTAGCATGTGGCTTTGCTCCAATGCTACCAATGCTCAATGCTCCAATGGCTACCAGCAAAAGAGAAAGAACGCCAGTTCCAAACCTCTCTGGACCATGCTGCTTGGAGGCTCGCACAGTCTTGATTCTTCTCCCCCTCCACTCCACCCCACTGGCTTCCTTGCTAGAAATGCACCAGGCATGGCCTGCCCCAGGACCTTTGCACTTGCTGTGCCTTGCTCAAGATGCTGTTACCCAAATATTTGTGTGTATATATGCACTATACACATGATGGAATGTTACTTAACCACAAAAAAGGACATCCTGACACCTTGTGGTGGATGGACTCTGAGGACACTGGGCTCAGTGAGAGAAGCCAGACACAGGAGGGCAAAACCTGCAAGACCCCACTCCCAGGAGGTCCCAGGAGTCCCGTGCACGTAGACAGAGACAGATGGTGGGAGCCAGGGCTGGGGCAGGGGTGGGGAGTCCGTGCTTCATGGGGACAGAGTCTCCGCGTGGGGAGATAGAAAGTTCTGGAGACAGAGAGTGGGGATTACTGCACAATGGTATGAGTGTGCTTCATGCCACTGAGCTGCACACTTAGAAGTGGTTAAGGTGGTAAGTTTCTGTCACGTATATCTACACATGCACACACGCATGTAGAATAGGGCTTGGCAAATACCTAAAAGGGGCCAGACAGTATTTTTGGATTGGTGGGCCACACAGCCTCTCTTCAGCTAATGGACTCTGCCCTTTTAACACCAAAGCAGCCCTGGGTAATCAGTGAAGAGATGGGCATAGCTGTGTGCCAATAAAACTTTATTTGCCAAAACGGGCAGAGGGCTGGATCCGGCTGCGGACTGTAGTTTGCTGATCCCGGATGCAGACCGTACCCTACATGCGCTTTGTTTCTGTACCTGTTTATGCTAGCTTACGCACAGGTGACAAGAAGAGAGAGGTCTCCAGAAAGGAGAAGTGGGTGACCAAGGGAGAAAGAAGAAGGGAAAATGTTCCTTCAGTACTTTCTGGATTTTGACACTCTGGGATTATTACCTATTCACGAAATTCAGAACAACACAAAAAAAGAGAAAAAGGGCCTCTTGAAACCTCCACCGTCGGGGCCTGGGGTTCAGAGACAGTCGCCCAGGCGGAGGGACGTGAGGGACGGAGGGCCTCACCTCCGGGGCCCCGGCTGGACAGCCTCGGGGCCACGTGTCACTCACCCGAGCCGGACATTGGCGTACAGCTCCCGCGCCGTCCGGGTCTCACGCTTCCGCACAATCTCTGCATCGTACCAGAACCCACGCTCCTTGGGGTTGTCTGGGTTATAGTTGAGCATGACCTCCTGGCCCACCTCTAGCTCGTGCCACTTGAGAATGTGCCGGGCACGGGCCCGGACGTCCCGGGAACTCATCTGGACCACTCCATTCTCCGGGTAGCTGGGAGGAAAACCGCACCGTCATGAGATCCAGGCGTCATACCCGACTTCATTCCCTTGACGGGAGAGGCGCTCACACGAGTGCAGGTTACTTTGGTCACAGTGGCCCGTCAAGTCCCCTCCCCGATGAGCTCAGCTCCCAGTAAGGAAAATACCCAGGCCTAGAAGACATGTTCGAATTACAGGTGTTGTGGGTTGAACGTTGTCCCCGGAAAAGACCTGCTGGGAGTCCTTACAAGAGGAGGAGGAGACACCAGGGCAGGCTCTCACGGCCCCACAAGGGGAAGCCCGTGTGAGGACAGCGAGAAGGCGACCAGTCTGGAAGCTGGGAAGACGGGCCTCACCAGGAAGCGCAACCCGCCAGCACGGTGATGTGGAGTCCCAGCCTCCAGAGCCGGGAGATGTAGCCGCCCAGCCTGGAGTCACCTGTGGTGGTCACCCGAGCCAGTCCCAGACCTCTTCCACATGCAGAGACAAGGACCCCTGTGCCCGGAACACGCTAAGTGCTAAGTACTTGCAAGTCCCAGTAAGGGACAGATGACAAACTAGACCCAGAGAGGCCTCACGCAGCAATGACACATGGTAGGAACAGAAGAATTCAGGAAACGGGGTGGGGGGAGCGCATTTGCAACTAGCTGTCCCAAGGAGGGGGGGTCCCCGTGATGTCAGCCCTCTAGGGGTGGCCTCCTGGGTGGTTATATCCTGACTGTCATGCCCTAACCGGTGCCGAACTCCAGGGCCCACGGACACAGCCAACACCCCAGCCTGCCCAAGCGCAGCTACACTCACTCGTCATATTTCACGTGATAAATGACATCGTCTTCTGGCGTCGAGCTGGAGCTGCAGGGCTCGTCTGAAGACGGGGCCTTCCTCGTCACCCTGACCACCTGGGCCTCGAACCACGCCCCCATGTTCGTGTCCCGAGCGTCGACATACTCGTTGGCCTGCCGGGAACCAGAAAACACTCTCATCCAGCCCAGAGACACCCAACATGTCGGACCAGCAACGCAGACGAGAGAGTCCTTGGGTTCCCGGGGGGCCAGATGCTTCAGGATCGGGACTCAAACCCAAATGACTATAAATAGGATTTCTTAGCCACGGCACGGAGGATTCTCTGGTTCTCTTTCCATTGGGACGGGCAGAGAGAGCCCCACAAAACCCAGACACGACGCGTGCCGTCAAGGATCACTGAGGGACGCTGGATCACTCTGAGTGTTTCCACGGGGAAGCCTCGGGAGCGCTCCTGCCAGCGATTTTCACAGCAGGACCGGGGGTGCCCAACCAAGGGAACCCTGCAGTCGGGCTACCAGAAAGCCAGTGTGACGGAGGGGCATGGGGCATGCTACCCGGGGCCCTGGGGGTAAAGAGCGCGGCCATGTGGGGAGCACGCTCAACCCCAAACCTGCTGCGAGAGACTCACCTTGTACAGGCCCAGCTCCGTCTCGTCCCACGTGTCTTCATCCGCCAGGCCCGCTTTCCCGTCTGCCTCTGAAGCCGCCTCGCCGCTGTTTGAGGACTTGTCGGACTCGCTCTGGCCCAGGCAGCAGCCTGAGTCCGTGTCGGACAGTTCCGAGTCCCTCTCCTTGATGCTGCTGGCCGGGAGCACAAGGCTCTGGCGGACCAGGAGCTGGATGGTGTCATTCAGGCGAACATCGTAGTCAAAGAGTGTGTGGCCGTCCTCCATCTGCACAGACCCCAAGACAAGGGTCACTGGCCCGCCAGCCACTGAGTGCTCCCCTTCTGGGTGCCTGGCAGCAGAGACACCACGAGCAAGGTACCAGCTCTGCCCTCGTGGAGGGTGGGATCTAGATCAGACCACAGGACAACACTGCCAGGGTGGGGGGCGGGTAACACACAGTCACCCCTTTCCATCAGGACCCTCAGAGCCTCTCCAAAGAGGATTCCCCGCGTCACACAGAGAACGTTCTGAGAGCACCCAGCATAACCAGCCGCGCTGGGTGCACCCATCACATGCCAGGGTAGGGTTTCTTAATATTGGGTCCAGTAACAATACACGGCCTTTGGCACTGGAGCCAAACTGAGGGCAAGTGTGCCCCCCCAGGGAGCGCCGTGTCACCTGGCTCAAAACGCTGCAGCGGCAAGGCACAGAGACTCCTCGATAATTACTCAGGGGAAAAAATTAAGCCAGGTCCCTGCTCACACCAGACACCAGAATCCATCCCCAAGAGGTCAGGCGGTGTAAACCCGAGTGACCCCAACATGGGCGAGTCACCCCCTCCCCCAACACAGTGTATTTCAATGTGTGCAGCACCCCAGGACCTCAGTAGGTCATGCAGTTACTGAACGCAGACTCCTGGGGGGGTGTCAGTGGAGTCCCCCGACTCAGGGGTTCCCGCCCAGGGTGATCCTGCCTCCCCGCCAGGGGCTTGACAACACCTGGGGTCATCTGGGTTATCAGGACCGGGATGGGGCCGGGGATGCTGCCCCGCCTCGCATGGTGCCTGGGACACGCCCACAGGGACCCAACTAGCCCATCTAGCTTACCCTCGACCTTCCGGTGGTGCCGAGGGGGAGGGACGGGGGAGAGACAATTCGAGAGAGGCTGCCCTAGGGGAAGGAGACACAGACCCAACATCCCCCAGCTCCCTGCTGGCCCCGCCCCTCGCCACGAGCTTCTCTCCCCCAATCCCACCCACAGGAGTCCCTGGCAGGATTGTGCTGACACCACTCAGGCTGGCCATCCTCATGACCGCCTGGTGACAGTGTGCAAAGGAGTTTTGTCATCTGAGCCACATCCCAGTGGCACATGAGGCCCGAGGAGTTCTCTTTTATTTGAAGCTGTCCCCCCGGCACCGCGGCACCCCACCAACACCTAGCAAGGCCCCTCCAGTGCATCTTGTTCTCTCCCAACGTCCCTAAGGCAGGTCTCTGCCCACAGCGCCGTAGGCATATATGGGGTCAGGCTGCTCCCCGGGGGGCCATCCTGGGCCCTGGTGGGGGGGGACAGCATCCCCTGACCCCACACACTAGATGCCAGGAGCACTCCCGGTCGTGAGCACCAGAGATGTCCTCAGACACAGCCCAGTGTCCCCAGAGGGCCGCACTACCCGGCTCAGAAGCAGTGTCCTAAAGAAAAAGTGAAAGGGAAACAAACGCACAAATAATCAACTTTCCTTTCTTCCCGGGGGTTAGCAGAAGTCGCTGGTCTGAAGGCCTGGTGGCTGTCAACAGGCAAGTGGCCCCTGGGTCACAGGGAAGGCGAGCTCCAGGGCCCAAAGCCCCTCACTGCAGCAGCTGCTGTGTCATTCAGTGCAAACCAAGCATCTGGTGAATGGTCGCCCCCTCCCCGGGAGGAGACCTTTGGACACATGGACACTTGCCTACAGCCACGGAGCTCCTGGGCACACCCCACGGCTTCACGCCGCGTGAGGGGGGAGCCTTGATGCCAGCCCCCACCCCCACAGGGCCAACACAGGACAGCTGTGATGATGGGTAGAGGGGACACAGCTGGGAAGAGACAAGTCAACCTGCACACACGTGTTCACGGCAGCAGGACTCACAGCAGCCTAAGGAGGGAGCCACCCAGCGTCCACCAACGGGGGGGCGGGGAACAACACACATACACACACGGTCCCCCCACACACGGGAGGGTCCCTCGGCCGTGGACAGTAGGGAGGCGCCCACAAGCATGGCCCCGGGGATAGACCCCGAGCCCATGACACTCAGGGAGGGAACCAGACACAGAAGGCCACACGCAGTGTGAGTCCATGCCCGGACCAGACTCCTCCATGGACAAAGCCGGTGACTGGTTGTCAGGGGCTGAGAAGGGACACTAAACATTATGTAGGCGAAGAGAATGTCCTAGCAGTGCCTGCGGTGATGGCTGCACGGCTCTGCGACAGAAAACCATCCGATCGCACCCTTGAAGCGGGTGAATCATGCGGCATGTGAATTACGTCTCAACAACGCGTCGGGCTGGGTTCTTTTTTTTTTTAAAGGAAAAAAGGGAGTCCCAGAAAGACACATAGTGGGGGACGCCAGCTCGGTGACATTCTGGAAAAGGCAAAACTGTGAGGACAGCAGAAGGATCAGTGGGGAGGAGCTGGGGGAGGAGGCGTGACAGACAAGGTGGGGCGCAGAGGACTTCCAGGGCCGGGAGGCCTCCCCCAGCCACAGCAGCAGCCACAGCAGCGGGCCCACGTCACTACACAGCTGTCCAAGCCGACGGGATGAGGAACGAACCCTAATGTCCTCTATGGGTCAACGTGGGTTCATCGCCTGTAACACACATGGCACTTGGTGCAGACACCGGAACGGGGGAGAATGGCAGTGTGGGAGGTGGGATATGGGAGAAATCACGGAGCCTTCCTCTCGATGTTACTGAGGACCTGAGATGCACAAATACGTAAATACAAATAAGCTTATAAACATATAAATCCACAATAAACACAACTCATTTAAAAAGACAAAGAAACACAAGTGTCCCCAATGGGGCAAGGAAACCAGCAGAAGGCGGGCCCAAATGGCCTTAGAACAAGACACATGTACCCTGGGGCCCAGCACCTCGAGAAGCAGACACCCCCTCGCCGCTGCTGACATCAGGCGGAATCGCTCTGCAGGGGGCCGCCCTGGGCACTGCTGGGGGCTGAGCAGCATCCCTGAGCCCTGCCCACTCCATGCCAGGAGGACCCCGCAGTTGTGACAGCCACAGACGTCCCCAGACACCTCCCAGCGTCTCCACGGGGAGCACCATCACCCCCAGGGAGAACCCCTAAGCTAGACAGACCCTCACGTGTGTGCCCGAGACACGTACAGCGACCTCACAGGGCGTCCACAGCCTTATGTGCCGGGAAAACCGCGGCCTTGTCACACAAAGGAGTCCTCACTGCCGCCTTGTGACAGGGAAAGCAGCAAAGCAGATGAGACTCCCATATGTGTCAAGGGAAACAAGGACAACTCAGGCGACAGGAAATGAAGCATAAACCAAGGTACCTAGACAGCTGAGAGGAGGCGGGAGGGCTGGAACCAGGAGCACAACCGGCCCCTCCCACCCATGGCAGGTCAGGAAGCCAGGTTCCGTCGGCTCATGGATTTGCTCGGGCACAGGCCCTGTGGAGGAGGCCGACGTGCCTACCGACGCAAGAATGCGACAGAAGCACAAACGGGGCACGGAAGGGGACATTCAGGCTGGGGGAGGCGGGCACAGGACTCTGCCTCCTGGTCACAAGCCGGTCTGGCTGCTTCCTGCAGCCATTTCTAGAACTTTCCAGAAGGGCCCCTGAGGTCAGCAGGAAGGCTGCACAACTGTTTGCTGTAGGACAGGGTGTGTGCTGTGTGTTCCTCTCCCCCGACCCTGCCTGCCCAAAGCTGTACACAGACATTTGGGAACCACGGGGGAGACAGGCTAGGCCCAGGCCTGCCTCACGCCAACGTGTATTACACTCACATTCATCATCAAGATTCTAAAGTTCTCGAGCGCCTGGCCAGCTCAGATGGAGGAGCACACGACTCTCGGTCTCGGGGTTGTCGGGTTTGAGCCCCATGCTGGGCGTAGAGATTACTTAAAAATAAAGTCTTAAAAAAAAAAAAAAAGTCCAGAAATTTCCACCGAGGCTAACGATATTCATAAAAGCTACAAAACTCCACAACAGATGATCTGCTCCTCACTTTCGAGGTCCTGACCTTATGATTAAACCTGAAGTTAACAACCCGTAGCGGCACACTTTGCACCGAAAATCCCTCAAACCTCCTATGATAGGACACGTGCGGTGCTCTGGGGCACGTAACCCTGTACAGCACATTCAGGCCTAAAGACAAAACTGCCCACAGTGTTTATGTCTTCCTCTCTGTCTTAACCCAAGTATGCTTTCTGGATATTTCTGGACATCTGGAATTTTCGACCACGCGGACCGCATAAGAACGAACTTAACACGTATGTGATTTGACAGCTAAGCATGTTGGTTCCTGTTGGAAACCGGGATTAGAGCTTGCCATGCCTACTGTTTCTGTCCCCAGTCTCTGTCCCCTCGTAACACTTTCAAGGGATGCTTTTTAGGGTGCCGGGTGCTGCCCAGAGGCCCAAGAGGACAGGGACTCATGTCCCTGGGCTTGGCAAGTGGTAGTTCTTGGGTCGCCTCTAACCAGCTGCTTCAGCGAGAGGTGGGGAGGACAGTGAGCCTCATACCAAGAAGGACCCACAGCTGGAGGAGGAAAGGGAGCACTGACGAGAACCCGCCGGGCTGACCTGGGAGTCTGAGAGGGAGGAAGCAGGAAATTGCTCTGCCCCTCTTCCTGGGGGGTACAGCCCTGGCCCCTCGCTGGTCCTGCACAGCCTGCAACCCAGCGTGCACACAAGACAGACCGACAGAAACGGGGGGAAGACAATTCCATGCAGCAGCAGCCCAGATGAGGCAGAGGGGACACGATTTCCCAGCTTGGGGGCAGCAAGCAGAAAGAATGGCACCTCAAAGCCACGCGTGACTCATCCACATCAACAAAGGCTCTTCAGGGTCTTCAGCTGGTCTCCGGGTGGGCGGGGGAAGTGCTGAGACCAGACGCTTTGCACACCCTGCCCTGAAGAACTCTGCAACACAGTGCCCTAGGGGACCTGTTCTAGAATGTACTAAAATGTACTATAACAGGTTTAGTCCATTCCACAGCAGTGCTGCTCCTAACAGCAAAACCTGGATCTCCAAGTAAGGACGCTGGATGGAAGCACAATAGGGCAGAAGTGGCGAGCTACGGGCAGCCGGACAGTCTAGTCCACACTTGTTTTTGTAAATAAAGTTTTATTAGACTGGGACACACCCCTTCATTCGCATCCTGTCTGTGGCTGCTTCCCGGCTACAGGGAGAGCAGCTCTCCTGGAGACAAATATTTATGTAAAGGGTTTGCTGCCGCCTGGCTTGGAGGGCATGCCCGGCTGGGAGCTCTCCCAGGGGAAGAGGACCCTCCCCCGCACCGCCTGAAGGACAGGGCTCTGCTGCCCCACTCAGCCCTTTGGGAATTCAGGGCCAGCACTCGGGAAAAGCCATTCTGAAGTGGGGTGTTAGGACGCGGGAGACCCAGTCGAGGCCATTTCCAGGGGACCAGTTCAGAATGATCTTTCCGAGGGACCTTCAGACGGCGTTTGAGGCCAGTGTGGCCGATTTCACTGCTTCCCTCCCGTCAATTACCTAAATTAGTACTTCTCAACTGGGGGCGATTCCAGACAATGAGCCCGCCTCCCACGTCAGCAGGTCCGAAGGGGAGAAACCCAGTGGGCGCTGATTTCCCGTGCCTTTACCGCGAGCTGGCCGGGCCCAGTCCTGCACTGGCCACACTGGGAGAGCCGCGAGGAGCTCAGATGGTACCCACCTGGGCTGGGGACATAGGGACGATTCTGTAACAGCCAGAGCCCTACACCTGAACGCGCCGGAGTCCCCACAAATGAGACCTATTGTTATTTTTCTGGGCAGCCAAGAAAAAGGCGCCAGATGCCTCTCGCCCTTGCCCAGGCTGGGCCTGCCGCCCGGGTCCCTGCCCCCATTCGGCTTCTTGTATTTCCGCCAATCGAGCGACATAACCGCCAACCTATTCAGCCCAGCAAGCCGGCCACGAAACCCTCCCATATCCTGAAGAAAGGCTCAGCTATGCTCTGCTTTATCGGCTCAGTCAACCTCATGGCAGACCGTGGACCGCTACGACATGTTTCTTTAAAAGGCGGAAAAAAACAGTTGAGGGGGGAGCGCGAAGGACTGCGAAGACTCTCTAGAACATTCTGTAAAAGCAGCTCTCTGGCCCCCCCCACTGGAAGCTCCGCTGCTTTCTATCGCGGTGAGCCTGGTCTGTTTGCGGACCGGACTCACTGTGAGGTGCTGCCCTATGTGCTGTCTGTCTGCGTCCCAGCCCCCAGCCCCCCAACCCCACCCGACAGCCAGGCCGGGGCCCCGCTGGCGTCCCCAGGGAAGTTGCATCACACTCTGGGCCTGGCTTCCTCGGCCGGAAGACAGAGGCGACTGCACGTTCCCTCCCCAAGCTGCCGAGTGGGGAAGAGGAGCGCCAGACAGGGGAACGGGCGGCCGTCACGGAGGTCACAGGGGAAGCAGGAAGCCTGTGCCAAGCGTGAAAGCCCGGCTGTGAGCAGGCGGCGTCAAGAGCTCGGTCTCCAGCGCTGACCGCCGGCCAGTTGCAGGTACCCGCCTCTGGGCTCCCACACACAGGTGTTCCTGTGCTCATCAGGCCTTATAACTTTCACAGGGGTCCTAAGGGCTTTCGTTCGGGTCAGATCTCGAGCTAGGAATGAAGGGAGATGGGGGTTTGGGTACGTGGGTGTAGACATCTGTCCAGAGGCCAAATGGTCTGCCTGACGCGCGCATATCCCGCTATATGCCAGTGTTGCCTGAACAAAAAAGCAAGACCCGCAAACCCGTCCCAGACTCTAGTTAACGGCAGGCGTAAAGTGCTCATGCAGCTTACGTTGAAACACACTCCCAAAACTGCCACGGATTGGCAGACAGACAGGAGGACGGAGAGCGCGGGGCTGACCGGAATGTGGCTGGATGCCAGGGCAAGCTCTAGGGGTAGGTGCTTGGGGGTTCGTGGTGGCTCCAACTTTTCCGCCAGGTGGAAATGTAACAACAGTGCCTGGCACGTGCCAGGTGCTCACAGATCCTCCCACTGAGGAGGACTCGATCCGACTCACGTCTGAATCACACCGTGAACGGTGGAGCAGGCACACGCGGAAGGCGCTCAGAAACTCTGAAAGGACCTTCGCTGAACAAAGAGATCGAGTGGGCTAATCGAAGTCGGTCTGGATGCCACAAAAAATGAGCCGTGGGAGGAGGCGGGAGAGAGAGACAGCCCCCTTGGTAGAGCTCACTCGGGGCCCTGACTTTGAGGATTGCACAGGCCATCGGCGGGATCCGCGTCCCCTCCCCGGGCAGGGCGGGTTAACTCAGCTTCTAGAGACATTCAAGTCATCGCGTCTCTCCCGGGAAGGAGGGGAAAGGTCTCCAAGGGCACCAGGAGCCCAAGAAATTAATCATCAGGTCTCATTTCGAGTTAAGCACCCTGGAGACTCCCCACCCCCAAAAATCCGGCTGGTCGCAGAGTGTTTATTCCTCAACGGAGACAGCAGATGGCGGCAGTACCCAGTTCAAAATGCGACAACAACAAAGTCAGGCACGCGCAGCCCAACTGCAGACTTTTAATCCAGGACACGGTCCCTGTGCCCCCGCTGTCCCTACCGTGCACCCCGCTCCACGACGGCCCCTGCAGACAGGACCGACACTTTGTGCCATACCATCTCAGCTTCCCCGTGGGAAATCCCACTCACAGCAGCATGGGCCGTGCCCCCAAAGACTCCGACAAAAACAGAAACCCCCACTGATCCTGGAGAAAGCGTCCCAAACATGGGCAGCTGAGAAAGCCAGGGTGGCCATTTTAAACGCTTCCAGAGGCCGGGGAGAGAGCTAGAAGAAAGGACACAGAAAAGCGGGGCCCGCAGACCCCGAGGAAAGCCCCGAGCTCCCGCTCACTCCGCGGAGCAGGCCAGAGCGGCGGAAATTCCTGACCAGCAAGGCCATCTCCGGCCTCCAAACAAGCGGATCCAAATTTCTCGAAAACAGACCCTGCGGGGGTCAGACTCTAACTGGGCACAGGCTGTGGGCCATCGGTGTGTGTTTCAAAGGAAAACCCGATCCCTCCTGTCCTACTGTCTGAGGAAGCATTCTAGGCTCTTCCTCGAAATTCATCCGTCCTCCACAGACCACCTCCAACTTCCTTTTCTAGAAATTACATTGAGGGCAGCGTCAAAAAAACGGGAGGCGGACTTAAGAGCCCAACGGCTCAGGACTGGAGTGCCAGCTTCCTGCCCGGTATGTCGATCTGCGAGCGGAGCCTTTGTTCCTGGCTCAGGCATTTGAGGTTTCTGTGGAGACGTGAAGCGGGACCGGACGAGGGGCGGGGAGAGTATATGGACGGTGCCTGGACCAGGCAAGAACAAAGGTGCAGGGCGGGCGGCAGCCGGCTGGGCGGGTTTACCTGCTTGCCCCTGTAGAAAAGCCTCTGGAGGCTGGGCTCCACGTGGAAGACCTCCTGGATCTTCCGCCTCAGCTCCTCCACCTTGGTCAGCCTGGACAGCGAGTCCACAGTGTGCGTCACCTTCCCGTCCATGGTGCGAACCTGGATCCACATGGCGCCTGCTGGTGCTGAGGGCGAGAGAGCGGGACCCCCGGGTCAATGGGGCTGCTGCCACCAACACACCGAGCCATGCTCGGGTCACCTTGGCTTTTGTCCAGTCTGTGGACGCTAGGAAACTCCCAGGACACCCTCCCGGCGCGCGGGTCCGCGGACTAGCCAGCCACAGCTGACCAGGGCCCCGCAGAGGAAATGAAGGAATTAACGCGTTAATGACCATCACGCCGTTGGAGCGAGGCAGGAAGGGAAATGAGGGGACAGCGAAGGGCATCTCGCACCACTCAGTCCAACCCGCTCCGTCTTTCATGGAGGAGAGGCGGAGGGGACGGGACGGGGGGGAGCAGGGAGCGACACACACAATGTCCAGAGGAAGGAGGGCACAGCCAAATGGCGAGGAACCAGGTTCGTTCGTTCGTTCGTTCATTCATTCATTCATTCATGCCCTGGGTTAATACTGACGCAAGAGGAAAACCCAAAAGTCCGGCGCGGGTTGGAACTTCAGAAGTCTCAATAACTCAACTAAGTGTGACCGAAAGGGAAGGGCTACCGCCCCCCGGGACCCGGGGGCCCCCAGCCCTGGGCGCCCGCGGCCCCCACCGCCCCCCCGCGCGCGTGCGCGCGGCACGGCCGGCCCCGCGGTGGCCATGGCAACCGGCCGCCCCGTCCCGTCCGCCCCCGCGCGCGGCGCGCTACTCACCTCGGCCCGGCAGCGGCCTCGCACCCCGGCTCGCGTTTTCCGGACCCCGACCCACGGGCCCAGAGCCCCTCTTATTCTCCCGCCCGTCCGCTCGGGCCACGCCAACTAGCCCACGCCCACCCCCACCGCCGGGACCGGCCGAGGGGCCCCGCGCGCCAAGTCCCGCCCCCCTTCACTTGAGCCGACTCGCTCATTGGCTCCGCCGCGCCCGGCTGCCCCGCCCAGCCCGCTCCCCATTGGCCCAGGCGCGCCCGGGGAACTAAGGGCGCGCGAAATCGGGCTCGGGCGCGACAATTGAATCGCGGGGCGCCCCGCGCGCAGGCGCGGAGCCTGACATCCTCCCCTGCGGCTCGCCAGGCCCTCCCCCCACCCGGCCGGCGCGACCCCCGCGGGGCTCTGGGTGTGTTCCTTTCGCTCCTGCCGGCGCCCGGGCGGCGGGGGACGACTCCCGAGGGCCGGCAGGGCGGGGGCAGAGCCCGAGACGGCGTGGAGAGCAGCCACGCTGCGGGGCACGCGTGCGCCGGTACTGGCCCCGCGTCCCCGGGCCGCTCCCGAAAGTTTTGCAAAGTCTCCGCTCCGGGTGCGACGGGCCCTTCCCCCGGCCTGCAATGGCAGCCCGATCAGTCCGGAGGCTCACCTCTCGGCCGCCCCGATCCACTCTCCTGCCTGCGCGCCTGGCCCGGCTGGGGATGGCGATAGAGACGCGTGCGTGGCCCCGGACCCCGCGCGGACCTGCCTGCGACCCGGAACGCCTGGACGGCCACCACTACCCGCCGCACTGCCAGCTGCTCTGATTTTTTTTCCCGCGAAAACTCGGCGTTTGGGAGTTGCGGGGCCGCGGGAGGCCGCGCCAGGGGCGGGCTCCTGCTTGGTGATTGGCCGCTGCAGTGGCGGGAAGCGAGAAAGGGGGTGGGGGGCGCCCCCTCCTCCGTCTACCCCCACTCCGCCCAGCGGGCCACGGCCCCGCCCAGCCCTGCGCGCTCTGCTGGGCGCGCCCAGTGTGCAACCCGGCCCAGTGGCGGGAGCTGGGCGCCCCCCACTCTGCGTGTCCCTCAGGAGCCCTAGGGAACCCCGGGGCAGAGACCCCGGGTAGGGATCCCCTGACCTTTTAAGTCCCTTTCCCACAGCCCCTCTCCCGGGGCACGGGCACGCACTGACCAGTAGGGCAAGGAAGGCCGGAATCAGTGTTTAAACGCTTTAGTAGAATGTGGGGGTTCCTCTCAAGACCGCCTGTACCCCGATGGCCAGCCTGATCGCCCCAAGCTCCCATTTCCCGCCATCAGGGCCTGCTAGAGCTCCCCACCCTACCCACCCGCAGGGCTTGTTTGCTGGGTTTTCCCGCCTCGTTTTCCCGCCTTCTCTGGCTGTCCAGGCGGTCAGGACTGCCCTGCCCCCTCCGCCCTGCCTGCTCTGCTCTGGCCAGTCTTCGCGGGCACAAAGTGACCCATGCTGGGCACCTACAAAGCGCCCCGACACAGTGTTTGGATCTAGGGGCGAGGCCCAACAATGGGCAAGGCCAACCCTGTTGGTGGTTTCTAGAGGGGTAAATTCTTGTCTGGAAAGAAAGGCAAAAAAATGAGTAAGTAAGGCAAATCGTTTCAGATACTAGTAGGTGGAATGAAGACAGGACAGTAGCTGGAGAGGCATGTGGGGGTGGGCAGAGAGGACATTCTGGCGGAGGTAGAGAGGTGGGCCTCTGAACGAATGACATTTGAGCTGAGATCAGAGATAGAAAACAAGGACAGATGGGTCGAGGAGGGACAGGCAAGCTCAGAGGCCTGAAAAGACTTAGAAATGTAGGGGGAGCAGCCAGGAGGCCAGTGTAGCTGGGCAGAGAGGGGACGAGCCCACAGAGGTGTCATCTAAGGCCTCGGGGGGCCTTTGGTCTTTATCTGTTGAGAGCAGTGAGCAGCACGGGGAAGGCTGTGAGCCAAAGAGTAATGACCTCCACCTTCTGTGTGTACAGGTTTTTTCGGACCCGAGCAGAGTCCCTTGTAGGCACTGCTCCTTCTTTACCCAGATGGTAGATGGAACAATGCCCCCCACCCCGTGCCCCGGCCAGAGCTAGCGATATCCTAATCCCTGAGCCTGTGAATATGGTAGCCTCCAGGGCAAAATGGACTTTGCCAATGAGATCAGATTCAACATCTTCCAGTGGGGGAGATCATCCTCGATGATGCAGTGTGGTCCAAAATCATCACAAGGGTCCTAACAAGTGAAGCAAGAGAGGCAGAAGGACCACATCAAAGAAGTGACAAGAGAAGTATATGTTGGAATGATGAGAGCAACAGACAAGGAACGTGGGAAACCTATAGAGGCCAGAAAAGGTGAGCGACAGATTCTCTCCTAGAACCCTAGGACACCTTGATTTTAGCCTCTTAAGACCTGTTTAAGACTTCTGACCTCCAGAACCGTAGGAGAATGAATTTGTGGTTTTTAAGTCACTAAAATTGTGGAGATTTGTTTTAGATGCCATAGGGAACAAATAGAGTCCAAAATACAAAGTCTGGAATTTTTTTAAAGTTTTATTTATTTATTTATTTTTTATTTTTCATTTTTTTAAAGATTTTATTTATTTATTTGACAGACAGAGATCACAGGTAGGCAAGGAGGCAGGCAGAGAGAGAGAGAGAAGCAGGCTCCCTGCTGAGCAGAGAGCCCGATGTGGGGCTCGATCCCAGGACCCTGAGATCATGACCTGAGCCAAAGGCAGACACTTAACCCACTGAGCCACCCAGGCGCCCCCAAAGTCTGGAATTTGTTGTTAACTTCCTCCAACTTCAGAACTCCGTCTGTATGCTGCTGAGTGTCTTTCTGGACCCACAGTCATCAGCTGCATGTAGAACACATCTCACGGACGGGCAGGTGTCAAGCAGGCCTCCCTGAGTCTGTGAGGCAGGTGAGATCTTTCTCATTGAGGACAAGCCTGGAGTCAAGCAGACGCTGGTGGGCACGAAGCCTACAGAGACTCAGCCCCACCCTGCAGGGTCTTCCCGTTCGATGGGGGAGACCAGGTGTAAAGAGAAATGTCAAATGTGTAAGGAGATGGTGTTGGTGTTTAGATGGAACTAAGCATTCAGTCAGGACACACCAGATTTCATGTCCTGGCCATATCTATAATGTTTTCTTTTTCCTAACAGGAACTGGCTGGTATAGAGAATGGCCCATTAAAATGACAGGGATTGTGTATGAGCTTAACCAGTCTGTGGACCCTGAGAAGTGTACATACCACATTCAGGGGCCATCTGCTAGAGCAGAAAAGACTTGGGGCCCATCTCTAAGCAGAGCTCCTAAGGAGCATCCCCCCCAACCTCCTCCCAGGCCTCTAATCTCCGAGCATGACGACAGGTGCTCCCTATGGGGCAGGAATGCTAGGGTCTTGCGGTTGTTTTGGCTTATGTATCCGTTATTTCTTAGGAAAAAGGGGTCAGGTTGTCATCTCATACATCAGTGAGGACTTTGGAATTCCCAAGCTGTCCCACCCCTGCACAACAGCCTCATCTCCCCTCCCAGCCCCTAGGGAGCCCCTTCCCAGAACCCTGGCTGGATGATGTCACAGACAGGTGACCTCACTGCGGCAAAGGAACCGGGAATCTCAGTGGCATGGGGGAGGAGGGAGGATGTGTCCCCACCACCCCAACCCCCCATGTCTGTGGTGAAGTCGATTGAATTAGTGTTGCCCAAGGATGCCATTTACCTGGCCGGCTCCAGCATCAAAGGGCAGGTGGTTCTAATTCTGAACAGCACCCTGGTGGACCCTATTGTGAAGGTCGAGCTCGTGGGAAGGGGCTATGTGGAGTGGAATGAAGAAATCGGGGCGTCACGTGATTATAGCAGAGATGTTATTTGCAACAACAAGGCCGACTATGTGCACAAGATGAAGACATTCCCAGTAGAGGGTAAGGATGAAGCCAGCAGCCACCTCTAGCCATAATAGGAACCTGGGTCGGGAAGGTAAACATGTGTGCTAGGGGATCAGCAAAGCCCCAGGGATACCAGAAATGGGCAGAGGCCGGGTCCCTCCCAAGGAGGGAAGCTGTGTATAACAATGACCATCAGATACACATTAACACGAAAATAACAAGACAGAAGGAGCTGATCAGAACCCAGATATTCAAACTGAACTCACAAAGTCATTTCCCTGCGGGGACAAAATGTTAGCCTTAGTCCAATGACCACTTGGAGAGGCCAAAAACAAAAACAAAAACAAAAACGAATCTGTCTTGTTATTTGACAAATAAATCTCCCTCTGACAGTAAAATATGCAAGGAGACAAAATCATCAGTCCTATGGTCCCAGGGAACGAGTGAGGAGGCAGGGAAGACATTCTAGGGAGAGAAGAACCAGTTCCCAGCTCTAGCAGGTTCAGATCCACAGTCTGGACAGACCTCAGGGAGGCTGAGCTGCCCGGGAGCCACACGTCCATCCCTGAGTGTGTACATGGGAGTGTTCCCATGTATTCCACAGCTCTCGGCCCACACCTGGCTGAACAATGTTTAATTTTAGACTTTTAAAATTTTTAGATTGGGAGGTCATGGAGAGGCCTCTTCAAAGATGAACTATGGAGCTCAGAGCTGAGCGTGCAGATAATCTAGGGGAGGAATCGCAACCCGCTGGCCCTTACTGCTCAGCAACAGCCTCTCTGTGTCCCGCTAGCCCTTCCGGAACATGGGAACCGGAAAAAGGGGCTGCCCCATGAGATTGCTTTGAGGAGTTAGTGATTTAAAGGTATATAAAGGGCTTAGACTAGTGTGGGGCATACAGTAAGTGCTTCGTAAGTGTTCGTTTTCTCAACCCACCCAGACACCCCCAGCATCACACCCCTTACCATGGCCGGGCCTTTCCCCTGAAAAGCATAACCCCAAGCCTCCGATGGATTCACTCATTTATTTCGCTTTACTGATCATCTTCTGCACACGGCACTGGGCCAGAGGCTCGGGGTGGGGCCATGGACGGAACAAACCGGGTCCCCGGAGTCATCGGGATTGCCACCCAGTGGCCAAGACACCAGAATGAGAGGCTTTGGGATGAATGAAAGACACAGTAAATAAAATAGGGGAGGCTGTAGAAATGGGGGCCGGGTGAGTTTCTCCCTGGTCCTCTGTTGCCTCTCAACCAATGTTAAGTGCCTACTGTAGGCAGGGCACTGAGGGCCAAGCTCAGGGAAGGCAGGGAGCTGAACTGGCCCCGCCCACTCTGGTAAATAAAGCCTAAAACCTACAGTAGGGGCCTAAGGTGGGTTTGCTAAACCAATGTGAGACTAAGGGCTGGACTTCCACTTTCTCAGACCCAGAGTAAGGGTGAGCACGTCCCTATGGTAGTTTGCATAATTTGGGGTGACCACCCCAGCCACCACACCCACCCAGGTGTCCCCCCACCTCCAGCCCAGCTGAGGCCTAGATCTAATATTGGTGGACCGTGCAGATCCCTAAAAGCACAGAACTCAGCCTAGCTCGGGGACAGGTAGGCTAGACCCAGAGCAACACCCCTGCCAAAACAATAAATAAAGAAAGGGGGGTGGGGAGGAAAAAGATTCTAGAACCTTCTGATGGCGTCGGTGTGTTTTGCTTTCAGATAATTGGTTAAGTGCAGGCAGCCACACCTTTGAATTCCATTTCAGCTTACCTCCCAGGCTTCCTTCTACCTTCACCAGCAAAATCGGCCATGTCTTCTACTTCATACAAGCCTCCTGCGTGGGCCGGGAGCACATTCTGGCGAAGAAGAGGATGTACTTGTTGGTTCAAGGGACTTCGGACTTCCACAAAGAAAACCCATTGCAGGTAGCGATGGGGGAGGGGCAGCGGTGCGGCCCGTCCTCCAAGCTCACCCAAGGCAGGTGGGAAGGCGGGGAACAGAGATGG